TCGAATTAAAAAAAGATTAAATCACCAAGAAATATGTTAATTTCATCTTAAGAATTTACTCTGTAAGCAAATCATAATGCTTTAATTCCACTTTTCAACATTTTCTTGCTTATTTTTGTTTAAACACAACGTATTCCACTTTAATATGAAAGCTTTGCATGTAAAATGTACATTTTGTTCCTCTACAGGCACATAGTGTTTCTGTTTTGTTGCAAATGAAAAGAAAATCTGTTTGGTGTTATTTAAAATTCCACCAATCGATATTACATCCAAATGTGTTCTGAATTCGCTTGATTTCTATGTAAAGTTGACCTTCAAAAATTAACTGTAGCCACAAAGGCGATTATTATAGTTCATTTCAGTTATAAAATATCCAAACCCTACAAAAGAAAGTCCTCCGCACAGCCTTAATTGCCCCATGGTACATTTGAAATGTATAATTTCACAATGACCTTGAATTCCCTCCAGTAGCCCAGCACATTGTCCATCTCTCCGAAAGGTTTTTCAACAACCCCCATTCTTTTTTTTATTGTGCAGTATAATGTGCATGTATTATACCAAAGAATTTTGTAAAGTGTAAATGTACGTTGTAACAGAAAAATGTGTAATAAAACGCTTATAAAATTTGTCTAATGATAATTCTGTTAACGTCAATGAATGGTTATGCTTTTTAACCCATATTTTGTGAGAATGATTAAAAAGGTAAAACAAACATTTATTCGATATAAAGAAATATTATTGTTTGCCAGTTTTGTTTCCGAACAAATGAAACGAATGTTAAAGACTATTTTTAAGTAATTATCGTTGTTTATTAGTGAATGTCATCATTTACGACCTACGAGTACGTACTTATTTGTTTTGTATTATCTTTCTAGTACAGCCTTTGAATCAATTTCTATAATTATTATTTTTAAAGATATTCATATAGTATTTAACTACTTTGACTAGCTTCTACGTTTAAAAATTATTAATATAAAACTGCTCTTAAAAATGTTTTGTATTTTGAGTCAAAGAGTTTCGTACAAATTAATCCTTCCGCGGCTTAATGTGGACCTGAATGACAATTAGGGCTTACTCTTACAGATTAGAGATTAAAAAATGTTTGCGCTGATGAAATATTGAACTATACTACAGTACAAGATTGAAAGAATAGAAATAATCTCAAAAATGTTTGGATTTTCGGTCATAAAATTACCAAAAACAAAGTTGTCGGATTATAAGATTTTCGTTAGAAACTAATTAAGCACGTCAGTGGTAAGATATAGTTGTGCCTTTCCAGGGACCGTTAAGTTATTTTGATTTTTGTGTGTGGGAGGCGTACTATACATGATGCCTTTGTGGTATTTTTAATTTTTCTGACGAATCGCTGCACTTTTGAAATACACAGGAGTTTTTGTGGAGAAATTGCCGATTACAATACTTTCTTACGAAGTAAAGCGTGAAAGTGAAAAGAAGGGGAGCATAAGATGAAGCTTATGCTTCAAATGATCGGTGAGAAGTGCACCTACGCACAAGTTGTAATAGAAATCTTGTGTGACTTGTGAAAACAGGCGGGTGGAGTCAAGTTAGTGATCTCACGCGATATATGATAAAATGTAACATGAAATACGTGAAGAATCACGGCGTCACGGTAGCGTCACGGCTTGGCAGCAGCCGAGTGCAAGGTAGAGGGCTGGGGGATCTAAAGATAGAACAAAAGGGACCTTCCGACAGGAAATGGTCCGCGGGCCAGGCAGCGCCAGGGAAAGGCTTTCCACCGCGCGGGGGTGGGGAGTAGTGACGTAGGAGGTCAGGTGACCTGGACCTATAAAGACGCCGTGGCGAGACGGCGCGAGTGGGTAACGTTTCGGTTTCCTCGTGGCTAGACCACAAAACTTTGTCCGCCCAGGCTGGTGCGGAGTGCCGAGGGCACGTGGTTGTTCGACGAGTTCGGACAGGGTGATGTGTTCTTCAAACACATTCGGGCAGATCGTCAATCTGCCGGGGCACACCAGGTGCCAATCTACGACGCGGCCTTGCCGGCTGGTCGTAGGCGTCGCCGCAAGGCGCAGGTAGGGAGAGGAGGGCTGCAGTGGTAGCTCTGGCAAACCGCCTTAGAGTGAGGGTTGTAAATATGTACAGTGTGTAAATAAAACTTGTATATACTCACTCGTGTCTGTTTCCTTGTGGTGTAGATCCCTACACACGACGTTACACACGCCGAAAAAATTGAACGTAAATTCGTAAATTCGAAGATTTCAATGAAAATGAGAATCGCATAATTTTTAAAGTGTTTTTACGTTATTAGTCGTCGACCACCAAAAAATATGAAGCCATTTTTGAGAAAATGTCGAGGCTTCATGTAAAGTACTTCAACAAATCAAAATATCAGTGTCATACCCAAGGAGCCTTGAATTTGTTCTTTTCGAGCCAGGAATATCAGTTTGGGAGAAAATTGTCTCAGCGGTTTAGGTGCTAGCGTTGACCAAGAGAAGAACACGCAGACGTTTTACCGTCTTTAATTTTTTTGGGATAAGGGAGCTACAAAACACACATTCTGACTACATAAAGTGTTATATCAAATAATTCACTACATACTGGAAGAAGATTTATCCACTTTTTCGTTACAAGGGCTCGGCAACAGGAGTTTTTGTGGAGAAATTGCCGATTACAATACTTTTTTACGAAGTAAAGCGTGAAAGTGAAAAGAAGGGGAGCATAAGATGAAGCTTATGCTTCAAATAATCGGTGAGAAGTGCACCTACGCACAAGTTGTAATAGAAATCTTGTGTGACTTGTGAAAACAGGCGGGTGCAGTCAAGTTAGTGATCTCATGCGATATGTGATAAAATGTAACATGAAATACGTGAAGAATAATTTTGTGTGTTTTCCTAAAGTTTGAAATTAAGACCATTTTTTAAATTATACTGACATAGTCAAAAATGTCGATAAATGTATCCAAGAACACTGAAGCGAAAGGTTTACGTTGCTTTCCATTCCTTTCTTTCAACCTTTTACGCTAATTTTAGCATTAGAATAGAAATGACGAAAGGTTACAATGTTAGGGGAATGAAGATGTTTGCACATTATTTACGTTCAACTGTAATTAAGAGTTACGTCTTATTTTCTGTTTGACTTTTATCCAATAAATTACAAGATTAGTTTCCAAGTCAAAGTGACACACACAGTTAAAAAAATGTTGTGCACTCACTGCTCTATTCGGATGTAAAGGAAGACAGCATTAAAACCAATACGACAGTACGCAAAACATTAAGTAATCAAACAACATACATGGAATTCAAAAAAATATTTTGATTTATTACCATCATTTGGGATAAATTATTAACAATACGTCAGGAGGAAGGCAGGATCATTAGAATACAAAGAGAGGATTTGAATTTTTGACGTATTGATATTTTGACGCTTCACACAACAGAGCTTTTTACAAATAATAAGGAAATTATTTTACATATACAACATACAATATAAGTGTTATTCAGCATAAAATAGTACAATGCAAGCGCATTAAGCACGAAAGAACAACAAGTTTGTCACCCTCAATGACATTCGGGAGACAAACCACCCTCTGCATGTGCACAGTGACCAACAACCTTGACCAGTACGTCTGAAATTGCTCTTAGGTTTATCTAGAAGTGGAACCACAGTTCCCAAATAACCCAGTGGCAATATAGGTTTTTTGGCCTCACAGAGGCCGCAACACTAGTTAATTTATCACTTCGCATTGCAGCAGAACATGTAAGTCTTGAATGGTTCTTGTCTTCGAGCAGTTTCATGCAACTTGAACATAGTCATTAACGAGAGACACACACGGAATCAGTACGATTCTCTCAATTTATCTTGTCACAAATTGATAAGTTGAAAATGATACTTTTTTTTAAGTTTCAAGGATATATAATGGGATGAACTCTCACTTTTATGTTTTTTTTGGTGTCGACAATGAAACTTAAAATTCCTAATTAAAGGAAAAATTGCTTTGGAAAATGTCTACTTTTGTGAAATGAATGAGTTTTCAAAATAGGTTCGAACATTATGTTTATAGAGAACGTTCATGAAATAAGCATCATTGGATCCTACATCCATTTGATACAGGATTTGGATATTTTCAGTACCAAATCTAATGTTTTCTTGCTTCTTAAAAACTGTGTAAGCAAGTCGTTTGCCACATAGATGCCAGTCACCATTTGTCTAAAGATAATGTATTCACTAAAAATAAGTAGCTTTACTTACTCTTTTAAATAATTTTATCGGCCAATAAAAGGCTTTCGAATATTCGTTGTAAGTATTAAGTATTTCCGAAACAAGTTTGGAATTCTTGAATGTGGTTGAATTTGAACAACGTCTTGAATTCTTGATGGATAATCTGCTTCGCTGAAGTCCATCAAGGCAGACTGCAGCACACGTAAGGCTAAACCACTAGATAGAGAACACACAAATAGGAAAAGCAACTGCAAAACTGCGTTGTACGTCAACGGCAGCTGCTGGTTCGCCGCTTTCCAACAAGACCTCTTGTAAACAGTGGAATGCGGGTGGAGTTCCATTTCGAGAGAAAATCTGGCCTCGGCCTCTGAAACACAATGGGGGGAAAAGCACAGTTTAAAAGCGCCCGGATCGACATCAAAGAGCCCGTCCCCCCCCCTTCCATGGAATAAACTAGCCCTTTTAATCTACGCGCCCGGCCCTCGAGAGCAATTGCCGGTCAACAGCGCAGCAACAGCGGCGGCGGTCATTGTCGAACCCTTGCCTTTCAATACTTTGCGCGGCCCTTCACCGTTCGCTGCCCTTGTTTCGAGTTTCGGCCCCTCCCTTCTCGATCCTAATTAGTTCACTTAGCGCCTCATGACCAACCTGCGAATGAGTTTTCTTTCCTGCTTCCCGAATTTCTTTCTCTTGATTCTGAACCATATCAGAAATAACACGCTTCCGTCGTTCACTAAAATATGTAATTCAAAAGTAAATCTGCCTTGGATGAAATCACGGTAGGCATTACAAACAATTTGCGATTAAACATTTTCTGCAAATGAGAACCATTTTAAATGAGAACTGTGGAAAGTTGCGTAGAATCAGCAATACTTTCACTGAGAAAAAATGGTTAATATATGTGTACTAAGCTTAAATCTTGTCCTATGAAATAAGCTTTACTCACAATTTTATGTCTATAATAGAAGTAAAATGGGAAAATTGTTGAACAGTAAGTTTGCACATTTTTCTACTATTGAGCAAAATTGACAATTCATTTGTTAGATTTTTAATGGTATGCATATAATAACGAAAAATTTTCACAATATAGAATATTTATTTAAATAAACGCTTTCAAGAATAATGTAATACTAACTTTCCGCAAAACAATGTTTTACACTTTTTAAAAAGATTTGTAAAAAATAAAGCATATTAATTTTATTATAATTAATATGGAAAGTAAGTATCAAATTCCATAATGTAACCTTTTAAAGGATATGGTTTAGATCCAGTCATTTCCACAGGATTTTATTGAATAAAATCTACAGACTTACTGGAGGCCTATTTTAAAAAAATATAATGCTGAAGCGGTTTCATTTGAAATGTATTTTTGAGAAACAATTTCTGATGTTTTCAAATCAAGTATTATACATTTATTATTGAAATGTTGCGTTCAATTTGTGGAAAGTGGACATGTTACTTCTTTTTACACTGCTAAGTCGGAAAGATGTTACTTGATATTTATTCACGTTGGGGCAAAGAGTAACAATGGTAAAATCGTGTATAAATTTTAGTCCTGCACCAGTGACCAGTGCACCGGTGACAATATTCACAAATTGTTTGGCTTTCAAGTCAGATTTTTTACAGAAAAATATCACTCCACTTACATCAAAATACGTTTGTATAAAAATTATTTTATGTAAATGTAAGCATATACATCTTTCATTTCCTTTAGCCCCTTTCAGAATATTCCATTTCCGTAAGCTTTTGTTCCTCCCCAGTAAGATTAGATTTTGCTAATAAATAAGTAAAGTAAATTGTCAGACATGCGTGCTGCTTTCGTTCCCAAAATCCATTTGTATGAAATTCTCCAATAGTACTAACTACACCTCTCATCGAAGGAAGACATTTCCCTTTACTACATTCCTTATTATCTACAGGGCATTGACAATAAGGAGACAAATGTCGTATTCGTGTTATGTGAACTATAAAACATCATTTTATTATATGCAGGTCTTTAGAAACTGTGAAATGAAAGGGAACTAATGGTGCTACAGAATGGCACAGACGGTCCCGTATTAATTTTCTATTTCCTACGGGCTCGGCTAGCTACAAGAACTTGTCACACACTCTTGCTAGCTGCCATGAATCGCCACCCAAAGTACATTTTTTTGATTACCTAATAGTATAATCAATGTATTATTTTAAGAATATTAAAAAAATGTAAAACCGTGCCCTAAATCGCATTTTCCTTTGAAAATGTTTAAGAAAATGGCGTTCATGCGTCACTGTAAATTCGAAATTAGAAGTCCATTTTCAAAGAATAATTTTGAGTTTTCTAAAAACTTTATATAAAACTAATTTCAATTCTTCCACTCAAAAATACAATACTGTTTACAAATTACTGGAAATGTGCATATTAACAACGTGAGAGAAATTTAAAAAATTATATTTGTGTATTTTTTTAAAAAAATACACAGAAATGAACTTTATATCATACTAAAGAGTGAAATTAGCACTATCCGTGCGAAATGTTTTAAGAAATGATTTGGAGCAGTTTTTTAGAAAACGGCGTTTGAGCGTTTCAGAAAAGGTGGAAATTTGAGCTCAGTTTCACAGGAAACGGTTGAGTTTTCTAAAAACTTTCTCTGACATTATTTAAATAATATATACGCATCAATATAATAATGTGAATCAATCGCCGCTAATGTAAATATCGATAACATGAGAGAGCAGTCAAAACAAATTACATCTTTGTAATTTTGGAAAAAGCAAAAGTACATTTACAAATACATAGAGTACATTTAGCACTAATCCTACCAAAAGTTTAAAGAAAACGTTGGAGCGGTGTTTGAAAAAATCTTGTTATTGTAATTTTTTAAAATTGCACAAATTGCAAGCAGCATTGCGCGAAAACTACTAAATTTTCAAAGAAATGTACCTGACTTTAATAAAAGAACTAATTATGGACAACAAATTTCATTTGAAGGAAAAATCTCTATCTTTAATTTTGTAGTTCTAGGAAGTCACCGAAAAAAATTCATACTTTTGAAATTTTTGAAAATCCAAAGTTAACCGTGAAAATCAGACCTTTGCCACTTTTATAAGTGTATGATAGACTCTTCTTACAAGCCATTTAAAGAAAAAAATTGGAGCCGTCGTTGTGAAAATTTTGAAAATGTCTCAGGGGCTTCATATGAAGTACGCCAAAAAATTAATGAATGGATTTCAAAACCGGAGAGCTTCGATTGAAGCTAAATGGTCAGGGGCTTATTCTATTTGGAAAAAATGCTACGCATGATTTAGACGCTAGTAGTGTTCACAGTCGGACAGACAGACAGACAGGACAGACGGACGTTTTGAAAAGAACCACTTTTCCGGTATCAGGGGACCCCAAAACGTGTATTTCCGTTGAAATCTCGAAATCTCTTTTTCACGGCATTACATAACTTTCTCTATACTACGTATATTACTCCGTATATACGTACGCATCCGGCAATGTATAAAGTTATAAAATAAGTATTTGTGAAAGTACAGTTTCTATGCCCTTTTTCGTATCCAAATTTATGGATACTGTCATGATTTGAAAATAATAAAAAATGGTAGAACAAAATAAAGGATGGTGAAGCATAAACCTACCCCAAAACAGAGTTGGTGCGAAAAGAATCAATGTGGAGGTTCGACATTTGAGCCCGAGAACCAAGCACAGGAATCAATGTGCTCTGATACTCGTACATGGCATTCACATCAATCCAGGAAAATGAGTTAGAGGAAAGTACTTCCAGAAATCTGGCGGGAATGAACGTGAAATCCGTAAGTTATACCAATTAAAATCCCAGAGTAGAGAGGCGGAAAGGATAGAAATTGCGTATGCAGTTCAAATTCATTTTATTTTCTCCTGTCCGTACTTTAGATAAATATATGTAATGCTGCAAAAAGAAATCGATGTCGTGATTGTGACCCAAGAACGTGTTTTGCAGGACTTTGATACACTGTTATCATTTTCCCATATACACACGTACAGACGGAGTAATATACGTAGTATAGGGAAAGTTATGTAATGCTGAGCGAAAAAACGGCAGATTTTTGTCAGAAAAAATTCATTGCCGGGCCCTGACTACAAAAAAGTGGATATATTCAGTTGCTAAATTAAGAAAATAATCCTCTAACACGTGGTATAGCCAGAATGCTGTTTTTGTGGATCCTTGTACAGAAAAATCAATTGACGGCAAAACGTCCCTCTGTCCGTCTGAATATCCATCTGTCTGTTCGTCTGTTTGTCCGTCTGTGAATGCTACCAGCACCTAAACCATTCCTAGGATTTTTTCCAAATTGCAGAAAGCTCTGTCCATCTGGCTCGAATCGACGCTTTGATATTTTGAAAAACATTCACTAAAATTTGGGGGTACTTTACAGGAAATACTTCGGACATTTTCAAAATTGTCTCAAAAACGGCTTCAAATATTTTCTTGAAATTTCTTGTAAGAATAGAGTAACATACACTTATAAAAGTGGCATAGGTTCGATTTTCACAATAACTGAATAATCAAAAATTTCAAAAGAATGATTATTTTTCTGCGTCTTCCTACAACTACAAAATTATTGTTACAGGTGTTTCCTTCAAATTAACTTTGTTGTCCAAAATTAGTTCTTTCATTCAGGTCATGAAAACTTTTTGAACGTTTTAGTAGTTTTAGCGCAGTATTGCGTGCAATATTTGCAAATTAAAAAAAATAATAAACACAATTTTCTTAAAAACGGCTCCTAATTTTTTTTTTAACTTTTGGTAGAGGTAGTACTAAATATACTCTATGACATAAAGGATATATTGCTGAATTCTTTGTTTTTGTTTCAAAAATAACAAAAATATATTTTTTGACAGTTTCGAGAAACGATAATAGATATACCCGAAACGTAGTTTTCCGTCAAAATTTCAACATCAATTATTCCGTACATTATGTAAACCAGAAAGTCAAAGGTTGGTTTCATTCATTACATTTGTATATTTATTGAGACGAATTAGATATGTACGATACTCTTTCATTTGATGAGTTTTAATATTCATAAAGCGTCCATGCTCCATTGGTTCAATTTTATGTGTAAATGTGTTTTATATTTTTAGTGGGAAAAACGGTATTCATTGAGCTTGTAATGAATTGAATTTACATTGAGCTTGTAATGAATACTTACGTTGAGCTTGTAATAATGAACAACTTCAAGTTTTATAGATACTGTGTTTTGAATTGCGTACTTTATGAATGTCATTTATTCATTGGTTCTATGTGTCAGTCAGGGAGTAAACAGCTGCGTTGTTTCCATCTGTAAGAATGCGCGGCTTTTATTTTGGACTAACGGTCTTTATATTTGACTTATTATCGCGCTATTTCATTTGATGCTTTACAAATAAAATAAAACTAAAGTAATATTTCACATATTCACGGAAAATATATAGTAAATTAGTAGTAAATTATAGTATATTAAGCAAGTGCTTAATATAAGTACTGTACCTAATTTCAACGGTTTATCCAAAATAAGATACGCAATAGGTGGACATACACTGTGTGAAATATTATTTGTTTATATGAAATAGTATAACTCGAGAGAACAAGGATAGTTCAAAATTACTTAGTTTATGCTCTTTCTGTTACATTTCTACTATAAAATAAGTGAATGTTACTGTTTTTGCAAGAATACGTAATTTTCTTTAAAGAATAATGTAAATCCCCATATCATTGTTTAATCACCATATATTACATTCAAGATTAGAAACAATTAAGTTGACTTAGTTGTTTTTAAATGAAATATTTAAGTATAACATTAAAAAGTAAAATAAATAAAACGCTCATAATGATATAAATCTATTTTGTTTCAACTTCCTCATAATTATGTAACACGTTCTGAGTGTTTTGGTCATCCGAATTATTATTTTACTCCCTTTCAATAAAATAATGAGTTGGATTTGAATATTGGTGCGATAAAGCATTCGGATGGTCGACAATGGAAGTAGATTTTGGTTCGCTATTCGGGGTTTGAGTTGTCCGGATGATAAGAAAATTCGGAGAAATGAGAAAAATACTCGATTATTAAAGTACTGTTCCATGAAGCATGGTATGTTGGTCAATCGAGAAGGATCGGATGAGTTTGTCAGATTCATGACGCGTAATTTTTCTTAATTGGGCAGGGCTTCTTTGTGAGAGATCGTTACCAGAATCTCAATGCCTGGTATTGTGTATTCCCTTGTACTCTGCATTGCCAGCTTAGTAATACATTGTAGCATTTAAAATTTTTCCAAATTATTCCACGTTTAAGATTAAAAATTCCTCCAGAAATCTAAACTTGACGCATAACTCAATAAACTCTATTAAGATAAAAAATTATTTAACTGCCTTTTCGTTGAAGTTCATTTTCAGTCGGTCGGTAGACTAACAAGAGCTGTGAACACCCGATATATCACGAGAAACTGTGCAAATAAAAGTTTTAGTAGTCAGGTGGGACGATTGTGGAATCAGTCGAAGTTTGGTCAGACAACCCTTCATTCAAGGGATAGAATTCCAACTGTCTTAATCAGGGGATGGTATCATCTTAATCAGGTTATTATTGGTCCTCAGATGTCTCATCCCCCATGTTATCCGCCTCATACCTATCACTTCATGCTTCTTTTGAGAATAAGCTTCTCAAGACAAGCCGATTAGCAACTAAACAGAGGAAGTAATCGCGGTAATGCGATAATTTAATAGGAACTTCAGAAAATGATAATCGATAACAATTTACAGTGATAGGGAGAGTGTATTTGGAG